TTTTTTAACCTACTGTGTGTGTGGTTTTTTTTGGGTGTGCATGTGTACAGTGAGATTGTCAAAAAGGAAGGATGTCGTCTGTGAAGGCTCTCAATCCGTCCTTGCAGGCCCGCCGTGACCCGTACTACAAGCGCAACCACATGGGCCGCGTCACATGTACTCTCTGTGATGTCTGCTGCACAGATGACAATAACTTTTTGAAGCATATTGCAGGGAAGACGCACTGCACACAACTGGAGCGCATGGAGCGTCACGCACGTCGTGAGGAGCGGCTGGCGGTTGAGGAGGAATTGAATAGGGAGGCATGTCGACGCGCGTCGCAGGAAAAGGCAGCACGTGAGCTTTTATTACAACAGCAGGATCAGCAGGCAGGCAGTCGTGGTGGTGCGACAGGCACGGATATCGCATCCTTCGCACCTTTTGGCAGGCCGCAGTTCAATTACTGCACCGAAAATGATCCAGAGTTGTTTCAGACAAAAGTGTGGATTGAATTTTTCTTCCCGCAGGCAGCGGCGGGGGTTCGGCCACTGCACCGCTGGCGGTCTGCGAGAGAGCAGGACATGGAGAGGCCACCGGATGACAGTGTCGTGTATTTACTTGTGGCATGCGAGGGATATGTGACGATTGCCGTCAAGTTTCCATCGAAACTTCCGCGCACATCTGCATCCTCCTCTGTTGCCATGACCGCAAAGACAATGGCATCCTACGGGAGTGAAGTTGCGGTAACTGCCAGCGATGAGGAGGAGGGACGTTATCATTGCAGCTGGGATCCATTGAAGAAGGTCTACTCGCTCTTTTTTATTCTCGGCTAAGACATTCAGGCATAAATGTCTACGGATAGGCATTTGTAGTGCGGCGGTGAGCCTCTGTCTGTCCATTGCTTTGTGTGTATTTTGTAAATTGGCTTGACGACATCTCATGACGCCGATTCCATTCATCAAATCCGACCATTGCGTAGGCATTTCTGTGTATACCTGTCTGACAACAGCGCCGTGGAGTCATTGGGTTAAGGTGATAGGATAATACATACATACACGCAGGCATACGCCGACAGATATACAGAAAGAGAGAGCGGGGGGTAGAATAAGAGGAGGAAGAGGAAGTATGAAAATTTTCTTTTTTTCCCCTGACTGACATCCTCGGAAAGAAGCGCGTCATAATTTCTCTCAACTCTGAGGATCTTTGTTGTCATTGTTGTTGTTGTTGCCTTTTTTTTTTTGTGTGTGTGTGTTTGGGTTTAGGAAGGGACGGATAGACGTTGCATAAAATTCCCAACACTCACAGCCACAGTGGAGGTTGGGAATTTTTACAGACTGGGGGGGGGAAGGGGGAGAAGGGGAGGGAAAGCTCTACGAGGCGCTTGAATTTTTTTAATTTTTTTAATTTAAACACTTACAGAAGGCGTTGTGAAAAAGAAACACACAAACACACAGAGAGAGAAAGAAATAAATAAGAGAGAGAAAGAAGGAGTGAGGGGTGAGACATGTCTTTGCCGGTGAACAATCAGACTTTTTCCACCTCGTCACCGTCGTTGATTGGCTTCTTTGACACCCCGGCTGCCTCCGCCTTGGCGGCGCCAGTCATGGTAGCGGACACGGCAATGCTCAAGGCCCGACTGACGGCAATTGTCAACGATGTCCAAATGCCGAACCCAAAGGAGGCTCAGAAGTCCCTCTCCGATCTCCGTCTATTCCTTGACGCGGTGGCGGAGCAGAGCGGAACGCACATCCAAAACATATTTGGCCAGCACGTCACAAACAACATTCTGTTTGTTGTTATGGACAGCGTGGTGAGGCCGGCGCTCACGCAGTACTGCAGCGCCGCAGGAAGGCGGCGGTCCATGGCGACTCGTGCAGCAGGTCGCGGTGCGAATGCCACGTCCCGACGACAACATGAATTGACGGCGTTGGCCGCTGCGTCATCTGCCTCTTTGGTCGCCGAGGAGGAGTTGGATGCGCTGAGGAATAACAAGGCGAAAAAACTTTGCACGGACGTGGTGCGGCCTTGGCGCGCGCTTGTAGAGACTCTTCATCACAACTTGCCTTCATCGTTACTTCTCGCGCAGGCGTCATCGTCACTCGGGACGTCCAGCAACGCAGATAACGAGGAGGCGCGCATGGCGGCAGTAGGGGCAGCAGCAAGCGGCACACGCGGGGGACAAGGCGGCCATGCAGAGGAGGAGTCGGCCGCGTCGAACGCCTTCGACGGTCAGTGGATGACGTCGCGAGCAGCAGCAAACAGAACTGAAATGTCGTCTGTGGCAGATTTGCTCTCAACACGACATCTCTGGGCGAGGACAGCGAATCATACTTCCCTGCCACTACTGTGGAAAAATGCCGTGCCGCTCTTTTCCATCACTCGTCACGCGTTGGAGGTTTTGCAGTCGGAGGTTCTGGTGGCCGTTTGCGGTCAAGAGTACGCCAAACTCCTGCTTCATCTTTTTCTATTCAACGGCTACCTGTCAAATCTGCAGCCAGGGATAATTATGGAGCTGATTATGCGACTTCTGGAATTGATCGAGAGGACCGTTTATGAAGCGAACAGCACAGACACCACCGTTGCCACTTCCACCAACAGGACGTCGTCGCCGTTATTGGCCGAAATGTCACCGCACTCGGATGTTGGCAACCAGACGCGTCATGGCGTGGAGGGGCACGTTGAAGACGACGTTTATCATCCACATGTGGAGCAGGGCACAACGTTTGCAGCCTTGCTGGTTCAACTCTTCCGTGCACCGCAACTTATGAGTGCCTTCACGCCATTTGAGGATGAGGCGACTTTACTTTTGTCGACTTCCACAGCAAATAATGGGACGATGCCGTTTATTATGCAGCGACTTGTGCGTCTGACGACTCAACGCCACATGCGTCCGACTAGCGCACTACGTTTGGAGACGCATCTGCTTATTGCATTGAAGCTTCTCGTTACTGTGGCACGGGACGACTGCCCATTGACATCGGCCATGCCCTTGGAGCTGGTGAGGCCCCTCTGTCATTTTTTTTACACCACAACACGCCGAGACGGGTGGCGCATGGAGGCACTGACGTTCATGACAACACAACTATGTGTCTGCTTCTCAGCCGTCTTGGGGCGGAGCGTGCGAGCAGACATTGAACGCCACCGACCACATGGGGTACGATGCTCGCAGGAAGCAGCGCCAAATGAAACAAATAATGAAAAGGGCCTTGGTGGCAACATGAGCGAAGGCACGACAAGTGCGTGCGATTCAGTTCTTGTTTCTCCATATTCTTTGACATTGTTGCATGAAACCGTGTTGCCTTTTATGCTGCAGCTTTTTAAAGTTGTCCGCAGTGAGTTTGGTCACGTTTCCCGTCGTGAGTTGTTTCACTTTCCCTGCCCACCACTCGCCCCACTTTTTGAATTTGGGGCTGTGGTGTTTTATCTTGCCTGCTCCACACACGAAGCCTACATGAAACTCCCATCCTTGTCATCGTTCGTCACACCTGCTGCCTCTCCTGCTCCTGCCGCCTCTGCCAGTGTAACGAGAATACCGACGGTGTCCGATGACGCATTATCGAAGCGTGTCTTTGCGCAGGAGAAGCAGCGGGAGCAGAAGGGCATAAAAAGATCACGTGAGGAGGAGGATGTGATGGGTGAAAAAACTGGAGAACATTCAAGACGGAAAAAAAGGGAAACACCGCCTCAGCCAGGGGAGACGTTACTGCAATTGTTTCGTTCCCTGTTCTTTTTGGATAGTGTAAGTGATGATGCCACAGCCGGAACGACAGGGAAGACACGGGGCACAGGGGGGAAAGATGATGTCGGTAACCTCACAGAGAAAGATACAGAGACAGAGAGGGATACGGATTGTCTTTTGCGGGTGAGTGCTGCGGCGGGTGGATCGCTGAGTGCTGCCGCCGTACAGGATCTTGTCAAGGACGGTTCCCTTTTCATGCTGCATCTTCTTGCCCATCCTGGAACGACACTTGGATGTAGTGAGAGCCAATGTACACTACTGGTGGAGCATGGTGTCCTTCCTCTTTTTCCATATTACGGTGTGAGGCTCGAGACACTACTACTCGCGGTGCTTCTTGCCGTCACCCCGAGGGCATCGCTCATGTGTCAGCAAGACGTTTTTCGCTGGCTTGTTCGTCGTTACATGCCTACCGTAACAACCCAGCGGGATGATGAGAGTCAACCCAAGGAACATGTTTACCGACTACTCTCCGTCTTGTTGGGCCGTGGTGTTGTGGGGCGGTGGCCGCTGTGGATAAATGGCGAGGAGCGTGCGAGATTACAAGCCGCAGCCCACTTCAGTGCTATTAGCACAAGGATTCGCGCCGTTCTCTATGGCTTATCCAAGTCATTACCGAAGACGGTGGCGAATGTTCCGCAGCACACAGCGGCTCTTCCGCCGGCAATGATGGCCTCGTTGATTGCAACGGCGACGGCTGGTCATCGGTCCAAGACTGGGCTTTCCACACCACTCTTTATGGCAATGCTACAGTTTTTGTCCTTGTACCAACACTATGGTGCAATCTCCGCAGAGATCATTGCCGCTCAGCGTATGGCAAGGAAAAAGCACCTGCCTGAGGATGATCTTGATGCCAATCATGTCACCACGGCGCTGAAGGATCATTCTCTACCGCATCTTCCCTCAGCAGCGGTGTGTCTTTCAACTGGTGTGGCTTTTGTGATATCTGGTCTCTCGCATGCCGTCTGCTTTCTTCCACACGACGAGAGTGTTGTCTGGCGTCACGACACAGACACCGCTGCTGCTGCTTCGACATGTTCTTCCAGTTTTATGCAGGCCCTCTGCTGGGCCGAAGAATATTTACTTGCCGCCTGTTTTACAGTGACAGAGAATGAATTGGGGTGGCAGCACCTCCCAATTGCCGTGGGGGGAGCCATGAGTGATCCCGCAAAAAATAAAGAGAATTCTCGTGGACATGGTGGCGGTGGTGGCAAGACGGCGGCATCTTTGCAGCGAATGAAACAACTCTTGGCAAGATCTCGTCACGTCATGGATGCGATGTTTATTGCACCTGAAAAACATGTGCCTATTACGGTATGTGACGCGGTGGAGGGACATTGGTTACTGCTGCACGAGTTTTTTGCCTCCTCTACAGAAGAGCCACTGGCAGGGATAGACGCTGTTCGGACAGAAAAAAAAGGAGTCGGTAATGTCACTAATGAAGATGAGGAAACCGATGTATCGGAGTTGTTTTTGGGACGATTGCGTCGTGGCGATGTGCCTCTGGGCTTTGTAGAAATTCTTTCTGGAGAAGTTATGCGTGCTGTTGGGGAACTTGCGGAGCGGGCAAAAGTTATCGGAGCCGCATGTGTCGGTCTCGCGGGCGGGTCTTCGTTGCAACAGCCACCGTCACCGCCGTCACAACAACCACAACACCAACAAAAACAGCGTGAAGTGGACGAAGATGCAGTGGCAATGGCACATCGAACGCTCTGTATACATGCTGTACAACTGATGCATTTGCTTCTGCGCCTATTTCGGCTCGGCATTTGGCAACTCCCTCAAGGGCATCGTTCATGTCCAAAAGGCTGCGAGGGTTCAAACAGTGACAACACCAATAATAATAATAATGATACTGATGATAGTAACAAAATTGGGAAAAACTCCAGCGAGGATGATCTGTGCATATTATCGGATATACCACATATGCAGTTATTTGATCATCCTTTGTCTATACTGCGTCGACTGTCTCCAGAAGGACGGCTGTACTATGCCGTGATGTGGATTTGTAGGCATCTTGCTACCCGACTGCTGCGTGGTTCTGTTGTACGGGATCGTGTACTGATGCGGTCATTACTGATACTCTTCCATGATGTGGGTACTGTGCTCTTGTCTCAGTCTTTTGCGTTGTGGGAGCCGCGACAAGTGGTGCTGTCATTTGTAGGCGTTGTGTCTCGTCGTGCGCTGGATGAGGGTCTTGTGAAGCTTGCATCGTGGCAACCAACAAACGTGACCTCTGCGGATGCGGTGGCAGCTGTTCATGCGACCATGCGGCTAAGCTGCAGTTTGCTTAGTGCAGTTCTCACTCTTGTTCGCCGCACACATGTATTGGCTGCCTCGGCTGATCCACTTGTCATCCCGGCGCGTGTCACGGCAGTTATTCTCCATATTCTCGAGAAGGATGGTCTTATCCCCGCCACTATGGAGGCACCAAAGGGCCACAGAAGTGAGCACTTGATGAATCACGGAAGTGAGACAGAGATGTCTTCCACGCAAAATGTATCAAACTTGAATCCTTTCCTTCCCTTTTCACTTGCCGTCGTGGATGCTGTGCTGGGATTATTGCAGGTGCTGCATGAGGCCTATGGTGACACGCAGGCACGGCTGGCGGCACGTCAACTTCTTGAGACGCTGTTTGCACGTTACAGATACAGTCTGGCGGAGAGTATTTTCTTGACATTTAGTCATTACGCACCGCCGCACCATGCCGTTGTATCTTCAACGGTCGCCGATGGGATAAATTATGATGAGGAGAGTGAAGAGGAGGAAACGATGAGTACGAATACATGCAATAGGGAGGATGTAGAGGAAGTGGCCCACCGAGTGGGACAAAATCTGCAGACACCGGGTGGTACCATGCGGAGGGGAAAAGAGAAGAAGCGAGGGAGAAATGCTCATGACGATTTCCTTTTTGAAGAAGGGCAACTGCTCGAGGTGTTTGTGGACCAACTGACAGATGTCTCACGGAATGATATGCCGGTGTTGACGCCGCAGCTACAATGCGCAGTGCTGTCCAGTATTTACGGAGTTTTATTCCGTTGTGAGTCTTCGGTGGCGGAGAAGCTTGGGAAGTATCTTTTTTCGTTTCTTTCCATTAAAACCGCATATGTTGTCCGAAGACACACGGCCTTGCAGGTACGGTGGCTTTTTAATCGTTTTACTCATCGGACGTATGCTGTGTTGCAGGAGTTGCTTTATCGTGCACGTGAAGGCATCGCCTCTATAAGCCCAATGCATTCAGCGACGAGTTTGCGCGCCCTCGGCGAGGCGGCACACGCAGCACCCATGCTGGAGGCAGACATCATCTGTACACTCTTAGAGTGCTGGGCCACGCAGGGCTTTGCTCACAAAGGCCTGCTTTTGGAGTGTCTTGAGTTTATTGGAAAAAATACACGGTTGCGGGAGAGGGGCTTTGCCACGGCGACCGCCATGACCGGAACGGCGGAAAGTGAGACTTGGATGAGCGCGCAGGAGTTATGTCACTATCACTGTGAGCGACTCCTGTTTGACTGGCTGTGGCGTTTGGGCCATCCAATGGAGGCGTTTCCTGTTGTCTGCTTTGGCTACGCCGGACTGCAGCAAATGTGGCAGGCACTCATGCCTACTTTGCTCCCATTGGCGTTGCTTTGCAGCGCACGACAGAATGGTGCGGAGGGGACGTCGGTATTTTTGCATCCCAGTGATCTGCTCTGGCGACTAGCCGCATGCCACAAACGGTCTGGGGATGCGACGTCCAATAATTCACGAACACGTGAGTTATTGGTGGGGTGCGTTAGGGCTTACTTTCCGGACGTCATGGCACGGCTTCTTGTTTTTGCGGCACTCTCGAAGCGTCATGGGAGAAGCGGTGGGGTCGGAGATGTACAGGAGATTGCTGAAGCCGCTCGTATTGCACTCGAGTGGATGGGGTCGACATTTTCAACCGAATATGTGCCTTTTGTTCGGCACTACGCGGATGCCATTTTGTGTCGGCTTGTGGAACTTGTGGGCACCATGACGCCATTTGTGCGAGTGCGTCCCCTGCAGGAGGCGGTGACAATGCTCTGTGACATTATTGCCAATGCCCCCGGGCTGCCGTCGACGACAGGGCCAGGTGTAGGCAACACAGCACTGGACGATTTTCATCATGATGATGAGCTATCCTCATTGGCAACAATGACGACGGTGGATCGCTTCTTTGCAAGTGATGGCGGGGACCATGCGTATGTGCTGCTGCAACAGCTGTACGCTGGGCTAACGCACGACGTCCATCGTGGAACGAGACATACGATGCTTGCATTGCTGTTTGAGCAAATTGTGAGGCATTGGTGGGGTCGTGAGCTCCTGCAGCGCGTACCACACATTCTTCACACCGTGCTGCGCCTTTGTGGGAATATCCTCCTGACGTGTGTCGATGTCCGTGCGCGTGCATGCAATGTCCTTTTGTATGTATGGACCCAAGCGGTGTCAAATACAGCCCATCTCCTTTCCTCCTCGTTGCCTACACGAATTGTTTCTGCGGATGAGGCGTTTATTTCAACCGTCATGTTAACTCTTGCGGAGGACTCGCGGGTTGTTGCATCGACCTGGAACGCCATCTGTCGGGCAGACGCCACGCTGGAGCAGCAGGACTGGAAGTTACAACATGCGAGGTACACCGCGGAGAGTTTTGTGCAGAATGATGACGTGGACGAGCATGAGGTGATTGTCATCACACCGGGGGCTAATGAAGAGGCGGAGGAACATCATCGTCATGTAGAGAAAAAGGGTGAGGAAAGTGCATGCTTACACCTTGAGAAGAATGACGGGCAGACTCTTAGCGTCATGGAAGCCATACGGCAAGTGACACGTATTCTTCCATTATTGAAAAGTACCGTTCATGTTTCTGGTGCGCCAGCATCGTCATTCTACACGGATGCAGCGGCTGCTGTCGATCGTGCACGTCCGGCCTTTGTAAAGCTGATACGAGTTCATATACGCGAAGGGGAGGCGCAGAGCAAATTGCAGGGACGTGTGGGTTTGATGAAGAAAGATGAAGATGTCGCAAGAAGGATACAAACGGTGTATGAGATGTGCTGTCGTGCAGTGCAGCATTTGTTAACTCTAGTGTGCATGGGTGATGCCTTTGATTTGTCTTCGCAAACAATGATGGCAACTCCATTGACAAGGATGAGGACTACGACGACGCCTACTACTACCACCAGTACAGCTTTTAAGTTATTACAGGAAACAACTCGGGAAGTGCAAGTAAGTGTCTTTCGTTTGTTACGTGCATTGTGTTGGTGCTTCATTGAGGCCGGCGCGGAGGGTCACGTGGACGCACTGTTGTACCCCGTTGGTGCCATGCAGCGGATGTTGCAAGGGTGGCCCTTTGACAAGGTGTTACATTGCGTTTATCGTCAACATGTGGAGCAGTTGTACCGTCTTGCCTTTGACGTGGATGCTGACGTCGCCCGCGTTGCTTCTACCACACTCCGAGGCTGGCTGTGTGGCATCACCACCGACAATAACGGCGGGGAAGCCATCGGGGAAGGAATGGATGGTGCCTCAGAGAATGTGATCATGTCAACAAGGACGTGTGCGGTGGCGTCGATTACGCATCGTCGCCGTGGCGTTGGTGATGAGGGGGATCTCATTAGACGGACATTGGAAGAATTCAGTGGAGATGAGACGAAGCAAGAGGGTGATGTACAAAGGGCATCGTCTCTACCCCCAGAAGAAAAAGAAGAAAAGGAAGGAGACGTCAAAGGGAGTCATGCCTCATCAGTTATTCTTCTGAAGGACATCCTCCCCTTTCGGCGACAGCTTTTTGATGCTCAGCCGCAGAAACATGCGACGGTTTTAGTGGAGACGTCGCTGAAAGTGGCATCGTTACTGGATGAGGTTGTGTGGGATGCCCTGAGGGTGCATGAAGATGAGTCCCAGTTTCTGCGTTTATTCCTGGTTGCCCTGATTCGGCATTACAACTTGCACCATCGATTTTCGACGGTCGCGACGGTTCTCCATCACGTGCTGCTGCGACCCTTTTCAAGCCGGAGTGGAGGTCTGATTTTATTTATTGAGAGTTACTTGCCCATCGTTTTGCTACACACGATGCTGGTGAGGGAGAGTGAGACGCAGCGGTCGCAACGTGCCGTGTGGTCCCGGGCTCTTGAGACGCATCTATTTCGACGGGCATGTGGGTTTCTTCACATGACTCGTTTATTTCTACGTGCGTTAAACGTTTGTCATTCCGTGCTGATGACGGTGGTGCGCAGTCATGGTGTGTGGTCCGAGAACTTGGAAAGTAACCCTCTTTCACGGATGTCGCCATCGGAGTTGGAAGCCGCGGCTGCCTCTCTTACGTTTCCGCTTTTTGTGCGCAGCGAGTATGGTGAGCTTCCCGAGCTGTCGGATGTGCGGGATTCGTACTGGCTGTCAGACATTGACCCACTTGTTCTTGCCTCGGCCGCCGTGACATGCCACGAGCCACACCTCGCCGCACTCTTTACAGAACTTAGTGGGGAGTCTTTGCTTGGGCGGCGTAAGGGCATTCCTTCTGCTGCGATGACAATTGTTGGCCAACCAAAGTGCTCCGTCTTATTTCCTTCCAAACGACGACCGTCTTCCCGCGAGGATGCATCGAGGGAAGGCCATCGACGGATGCTGCGCGGGGATGAGACGGAGGCCGAAATGACACAGAGACTTGCCACGTACCGTGCGGCGGTGTATGCCGTTCTTGTCGATGTGGAGACCACATTGCGTTTCCGTGACGGGAGCGATAATGGTGGCATGGTTATTAGCGACAGCAGGAGCAGTAGTATTGATGGTACCAGTGTTGGTGGGGGAGGAAGAAATGGCTCAGCCGCTGTAGGGAACAATAGCAGCGTCATGCAGACGGCCGGCGATGGTGGTGATTTGAATTTTTACATGTCGCCCTGGGAGGAGGCCTTTTTTTTGCAGCACCCCGCGCGACTCATGGAGCGCGAGAAGAGCCGTGGGAATTGGCATGCGGTGCTTCTCCTAATCGACCGCATTGAAGGGGCCATGAGGCCAATGCGTGTTTCTAGCGGAATTCATCGTTCATATTTTGCGTGTGGATTCTCCAGTTCCCGTCTGTTGGTGGAGAAGGCGAACGCTCTGATGCAGCTGGGGGCTGCGGATACGGCAGTGCAGATGCTTGCGGCGGCTCTGAAGCGGCATGCTCCCCCGCTCTTATTTGCTGCTGCCGGTGATAAGAGGCGTGGGAAACACGAAGTAAAAGAGGAGACGGGTGCGGAGGAGGAAGAGGAGGATTACTTCTTGCAACTACGCTCGGCACTGGCAGCCACGCTCTGGCGTCTCGGCCGCTGGGATTTGGATTTTCTTGAGGAAACAGAAGGAACACACCGTCATCATAAGCAACGTCGGGATTTGTTACTGCCGTCTCTTGTTTCAGTGGAAGAGGGTATTTTCTATGCCATGCGTGCTGCGCACCACGGCGAACACCATAACGTACGACGGTGGACCACACAGGCGCTGCAGCGATTGGCATGCCAATTTGATGAGACGAACTGGTTTCAGTCGATGCTGCAGGCAGAAGCACTGCATGACATTGAGGAGTGCGGTCGTCTTTTTTTGCGACCGCATTCTTCTTTATCTTCCTCCACTTCTTCCACTGTTGAGGCTAAAAGGGCAGGTGGCATGCGGCGCCCACCACCTTGGGTACGTGCGTCCTTGGTTCATGTGCATGCGCCTTACCGGGAGCTGGAACTACTGGATAGTGTGCATCATCGTCTTTGTGTTTTGTATCGTCAGCCGCAATGGTGGCTTTCGCACCTGGAAAACAGCAGTGAGCGTGCCCTGCGCAGCAACAGGCCGGTGTTAGTGCATCAATGGCTTTCGGCATACAGCGAGTTTACTGGAGGGGACGTGGAGTCCCAATGCGGCGTGAAAAAGGAGGAAAACGAGCCCTTTCAGCAAGATGGCACAATATTTGAAAAGTTGATTACATCACATGAGTTGCCTGCCATTGCGTTTTTGGCGCTTGTGCAGGCACGTGCGGAGTTTGTGGGTGGTCGTCCACATCGTGCGATCGCCATCCTTCAGAACACGGAAAGGAGTTCGTCGGAAGAGCCTACGTCGGTGATGAATGGGCTTCTTTTCCCTATGCCAGCGAATGCGCCGCAGATGCCGGCCATTGTTCAGCAACTTGTTGTGTGGGCCAGAGAGGCGCGGTTGGTGCCACTTTCTCAGCTTGTACGAGATCCATTCCTTCTGTTATCTGTGAAAAATGACCGGACGGGCGTGTGTTGTCTGCAGTTGGCCCGTTTATGTCACACGCTTGTACGTGATATCACAGCACGTCTGCATAGCGAGGAGTATCGCAAGCTGCAGGAAAGTATTGGCGCCTCCCATCGTATTCGCGTGGAGTTGGAGCAGCAGCAGCAGATGTCTGATGGGCTTAGCGATGCGGAGAAGAGAATTTTACAACGCCGCATTCGTACATTGGCGGTGGAGACGACACGCGAGGAGGATGAGTGGCAGCGGGAGGTGGAGATGTATGCATTATACCGCCGCAGTGCCTTGAACGCATATGCACGATTTCTAGAGCGGAGTGGGCCTGCCGAGTCGGATAGTCTTCTTGCCGTGTTTGCCTTTGTTTCATTGTGGCTGCAGCAGGACGAGCGACTGGACGAGCGTCGTTTAAAAGCGGCTGGCTCCGCCGCCTCGGTCACCTCCGGTATCATTCAGAAGGCGATTAAAAATGTTCCTCTACACAAGTTTTTGCCTCTCTTTTCGCAGCTTGTGGCGCAGCTTGGCACATCGTTAGATGACACCAACCTGGAGAGTCTTGTGCTGCACATTGCCATGGAGAACCCTCTGCACGCCGTGTGGCCGCTGCTTGCTCTTGCAAATGGGGAAAATTTTGGTCCTGCCGTTGCCACCATGGCGCATGGCGGTGGAAGTAGTGGCTTGCATGTGGTGGATGAGAAGAAAGTGACGCTTGCACGTCAAATTCTCCGCACTCTGAAGAGTCCTACCAACCGTCATGATGATGAAGATGAAGATGGAGCTGAGGATGACAGAAGCACCATGAAGGAAGAGGAGAATAAGAATAAGGGGAGGCGTTGTGGCTGGAGAGAAAAGATTGTGACGGAGGCGGAGAGGCTATCGGCGGCGTATATTCAATTGGCATTTTATCGCGTATATAACAAACACAGGCCAGATCATCGTATCCCAGCTGATTTTATGATCATTGAAAAGGGTGTGCGGGACCTTCTTATTCCCCCGCCGACCTTCACACTGCCATTATTTTCCCTGGCGTCACGGAGTGCGTTGCCTGCACTGCTGCAGCAGTTACCCAAAATTGTACGGTATGAGAATACCTTCACAACCCCGGGTGGGATAAATCTTCCAAAGGCCCTCCGTTGTATGTTGAGCGATGGCCGCATCGTGCGTCAGTTGCTTAAATCAGAGGATGATATGCGGCAGGATAGCCTCATTGAGCAGGTGTTTTGTCTTTCAAACCAACTTCTTGCGCAGGATAAAAGGACGTGTCGGTTGCATGTCTTTACGTACAATGTGGTTCCACTTGCCCCCACTGTTGGTATCATTGAGTGGGTGGATGGGACGATTCCACTTGGGCAGTATCTTAATGGTGATCCCAACGGTGGTGGCACAAACGCCAACAGGCTGCGGTTTCAGACGGGCGCTCATGAACGATACTTTCCCGGTGAACCAACGACTTTGGAGTGCCGTGCGAGATTACAGGAGGCTAACAAGTCACAGAAACATGGTGTTCTTCTTGACTTGTATGCGGAGTTTAGCCCGGCTTTGCATTATTTTTTTCTTGAGCATTTTTTCACTCCACAGGAATGGCTAGAACGGCGTGAGGCCTACACACGGAGTGTTGCAGCCTCCAGCATTATTGGCTACATTGTCGGGCTTGGGGATCGTCATGGCAACAACCTCCTTCTGCACACCCAGCTGGCGGAGCTTGTGCATATTGACCTCGGTTTTGCCTTTGACCAGGGAAAGCAGCTTCCTGTGCCGGAGCTTGTGCCGTTTCGTCTCACCCGCAACATTGTGGACGGTTTTGGGGTGCAGGGAACGGAGGGTTCCTTTCGACGTCATTGCGAGGGCACATTGGGTGTGTTGCGGGGTCAGAGGGAGCTGCTTATGACGATCCTTGAGGCCTGTGCCCATGACCCACTCGCACGTTGGGCGGTGACGGTGTTGCCGCCGCAGCGGCAACAAGGACGGCCGCAAGAAATCGCCCTGCAGGTGGGCGAGGAGGAAGAGGGGGAAGCGGTGAGGAGGACGACGCCGCGGCAACGTGACTTGGGCGTCAGCCGTGGGAAGCCAACGTACGCCGATGCGGAACGGGTGCTCTCACATGTTGCTGAAAAGATTGAGGGGTACGAATCCGGCGAACTGCTGAGTGTGCCAACGCATGTGCACAAACTGCTGCAGACGGCTCAAAACACGGAGCTACTCGCTCAAATGTTTGTGGGCTGGTCTCCGTGGCTGTAGTAACATATCGAGCACCATTGCAACGAAACATGCATTCCCTGTGTTATTATTATTATTTTTTAAACAGAAATTACCCCCTTTCCACAGTCAACACATTCATGATGCCCCAGCAGAACTTGGCGACTGTGCGGGTGTGTGTGACACACATCTACACACACACACACACAACAGAAATATAAACAAACATTTTTTTTTTTTAAGAGGGGAAAAATGGAGAGATTTTCTTCTTTTTTTTCTTTTTAGCGTTTTATTCGGGACATTCCCTCATGATCATTACAGTGCTGTGGGCTTTCCAGCCTTTTAATAGGAACCCAGTGACGTTTCTCTCTCTCTCTCTCTCTCTCTCTCTGTGTGTGTGTGTCTGTTTGTGTGTTTCTGGGGAATACGGCGTTGTTGACATGAGTTTGTGTGTGTGCCTCCCTTTCCTTCTGTTTTTTTCTTTTACGGCGTCTTTTTTTTTTTTTTTTTTTCTGTGTTCTTTTGTCTCATTATTATTATTATTAATTATTTTTTTTGGGGCGAAGCGAGTTGCTGCGGGTGCGGACTTCGTTGCTTCCTGCCTGCGTGCCTGCGTGCGGAAGCGACAGGCGCACCCACCCCGTCTTTTTCCCCCCCGTCATTGCTGTAAGCATCGTGTGAGGAGAGAGAGGGAGCGTGTGTGTGCGTGCACGTGTGGGTTCCGCGACGGAATTCGCCTTTTTTCCCCCCTCCCGCTGAGGAAACGTCTGGGAGGAAAATCGGCGAAGTGAATAATCACACAAAACAACAAACAAACAAAAAAAAAGCAAAAAAAAAAAAAAAAAAAGAACGAGGAGGACTACAGGAAGAGTAAAAAAGTCATCCCCAACAAACACAACCGATACGAATAAGAAGAGGACGAAAACGTCATTAACAAACGGAAATTTAACATTACACCACGAAAAATAATGACATCGCCGCTTTCAACGAATTACTTTACACGGGCGATGGAGTTGGCCCACATGTGCATCCCAGATGTGACGCCGCAGGAGCGACTGGAAGCGGAGCGATATCTCATGTCTCTGCGTGCCACCGCGGACGGCCTGAATTTGTCCTTCCACATCATTAGCAACGAACCGGTGCATGATCTTCGTTGCTTTTGGGCCTTTAACACGATTATGCATCACCTTCCGGCTATTGCGGGCAGTATCAACGACGCCCAGGCGGAGGAACTCTACTGCACACTTTTTTCGTTTATCTACCGGTATTTTTTTTCCTCTTCTACCTTGCAGCGACAGCCGATGGACTTCCTTGCCAACAAGCACGCCCAACTGATGGTTGCGGGGCTTCAGGAATTTTTTCCATCTCGTTGGACGTTATTCTTTGATGATGCCTTTGAGCTTTTTGAGCGTCGTGGAATTCTACCGCATGTTGGCGATGCCGTAACGGTATACGTGCTGCGGTTATTTGAGTACATTGACGAGCGTGTCGTGTCGGTACGGGCACAAACAAACCGTTGTCGGGAATTACGGGCACGAGATATGGAGCTGAAGGATGCTATGCGTGAAAATGTCATGCCACGTGCTGTGACGACATGGTATGTCATATTATGTGACTGTCGTATTCGGGCACCGGAAATTGCCAAACTTTGTCTTACGGTTGTGCAGACGTACATTGAGTGGGTGGATTTTACCCTCTTTATAACCGCCGAGTGGATCAATTTGCTTTACTTTCTCGTCACAGCCCCGGCTGTGCGGGGTGCGGCATGTGAATGCATATTCAGTCTTGTGGAGAAGAAACAATTACCGGTTGCAAAGCTGGAGTCACTGCGTACACTCAACATTGTGGATGCCCTTCCGCGTATTGTTAGTTTGCTGCAAGTGCCACCCAAGACGGAGGAGGATGTGAACTTCCTCGAGGTTGTAGCGCGGCTTACACGGGCTGTTGCAGAGCAGTTTTTGTTTCTCTTTGAAAACATATCGGCTGCAACGGCTGATGGTGGTAGCCCCAATAGGCTTTACAACTCTCCGATGAAACACCATTCTGTCCATGCATCCGAGAAGGGCGAAGCTATTTTTAATGGCAGGACCGTCATGGGTGCATGTTACACTACCGCCAAGAACAGCAGCAACAGCAAAGGGGAGGTACCGCTACAATCCGATTGGGTGTTCTCTAGGGATTGTATCGACAATGTACGTGCAGCACTGGATACGATTCTCACTTATTTGTTGCGTTTGTTGAGCATTAATCATAGTGATGTGAGCAATACGCTTCTGCCGTTTGTACAGGTGTACCTAAAGTCCGCGGCGCTACATGAAGAGCGGGCGGGGGAGATACTGCTCCGACTATACGACCACAGCCTGATACAAGGCCTTGCGGAGGAGGAGGATCAAATGTGGCTGGACGATATCATTGATCAACGAAAACAGATTCATAACCTTATCCGTCTTTTATTTCGGCGCTATCCAACTATTGTGTTGCAGCATCTACGGCTATGTGTTGCACAGGCAAGCACACCCGTGAGTGTCGAAGAGTGTTTCAGGAATAAAATGGACGATCAGAACCGTGGCGACCACCAGGAGTACCACCTGCATGTCGAGAATGCCTCCGTCATGGGTGGAGGTGGGGCGAAGAATCGACATGCGGAAGAGATTGAGGCGACATTGCGATACTTGTATGAAGTTGGTGAGTCGGTTCGAATGGAAAGACTGCGAAATGCGGAAGATGAGTTTTCTCAACTTGTTTGTACCGTTTTGTCCTCTGAATGCATCGCCCAATGCCCATGTGCCGTTGTCCATCTCAGTTACTTTGAGGTTCTGGATCGGTACTATGCCTTCTTCATTTACCACAGTGAGTGGATCCCGCTTCTGTTGCAGCGTCTTCTACTACTGCCTTATGGCGTCACCAATCGACATCCTCGTGTCCGCGCGCGTGTGTGCTATCTGTTTGGGCACCTTGTACAGTTACTGAAAACACACCTGTCACCGCACAAGAAGAGTATTGTAAATGCCTTGCAGGATATATTTTCCTCTGGGGTGTTGCAACCAAGCGATTGCTGTGAATTGTATGAGGCTACTGGAAACGTCTTGAGTTCAATGTCGCGTACATCTACAAGTGGGATGGATGAGGGGGCGATGGTTGTGCGTTTCATAGAAATCATGTTGAAAGGACTTCGTGATGCGTCTTCTTTGGTTTCTTCTCATCAGGTTATGACCGGGGACTCTTCCGCATGCTCGGAGGCGGTGGCCGATCAAATTTCCTTTTTAACGGCATTGGCCAAAGGTCTTCGAGGTGGTGGTGGGGGCGGTGTTGCTGGTCCCAATGACACGATGACTCATCAAGGCGGTGGCAGTAGCGGTGAAGGTGTCGATGTGGTGATTGTCAAGACATTTCATAGCGTCACAAATGATGTCATGAGGGCACTGATTGCATGGCATGCGTCCGCATCTGTTCGAGACAGGGCGGCACAATACTTCACTCAAATGATACACATATTACCGTTTGAGTGCATGGATGCCTATTTTACGGCATATATTACAAACTGGTTAGCGTGGATGGAGGCTATACCGGAACTTACGAAGCTGCTCCGTTTACTCTTTCATTTTATTCACCGTAGTGGGTCCTGTGTGGGGGCTTTGCTTACCACCACACTGCCAGTTGTATTGCACAAAGTGACAGCTGTTGGGGACTTGTTGATATCGCCAGAGGAGATGGAACTTGTCTCGGAAAGTACCCGTGAGAAGCGTGAGGTGTACCGTCAACTGTTTGCCGTCCTACAAGGTGCTACCCAAGCTGGATGTGTCTCCATCATTCTATCACTTCCTTCTGCGAATCTCATGCCTTTACTTTCACAGTTGCTTGCGGCGATGCATCTTCCCGTTGAGACGGAGTTACCAAAGCTGGCACTGCAGATTATAACAAAAATTACCACGACGGGATGGGCGGAGGGAGTCGGTCCTCCCAAAGATTATGCCACAAAGGATAGGCCTTATAATCATCATCCTCATGGGGGTACGAATAAGAGTGATAATTCTACGATGGACATGGGGAACAATTTATACGACGGTGGTGGTGATGGTGCCTGGACCTTGTTTGTACTAAATGAGGTTGTACCGACACTGTTGCAACGTTTTCTGTTACCTGAATTTGACGTGAAGGATGCGAAGAACTTCCTTCTTATTGGTGAATTTGGGTTGCTATTGAAGGCATTGATGAATCGATTGGGCCCAAGTGATCCCTCCCTCTATATGTTTCTTTACAACATGTTGCAGCCATTGGTGGGGGAGGAGGAGGTGACAGGACTTGTAACGGCACTTCAAAAGGAACCAAACTTCTCTACAGAGATGAGAATGCGCTTTAGAAACATGTTGCAAGCGGCGAAGGAGCGTCAGACAACAGGCAGTGAAATGAAATGATTTAAGCTGCATGAAAGATATTTATATTTATATTTATATTTATATATATCTTTGGGTTGTCTCTGTTTCAAGGGCTGCTGTGATGCCTTTTGTGTGCGTGCGTGCGTGTTTATTTGGGGCGTGTACCGTTTGACCCAATCGTTTTTTTTTCCCCCCCTTTTCCCCTCTCTTTCTCTCCCCTTCTCTCTCTCTGTGTGTGTGTTTGTTTTTATTTCACGGGAGGTTAGATGCATGCAAAACCGAGTTGTGGAATGAATTGGGCAGCTGTGCATGTGTGCCACCTGCGGTGTTCATGTCTCCCTTTTTTTTTTTTTTTTTTTTTTCATGGCATGTCTGCATAAAGAAGGGGAAAGTCCGCACACATAAGCACGCAACCGGCACAGGGAGGCAGAAGGGAAAAAAAAAAATAAAATAAAATAAAACAAAATAAATTAAAAAAAAAAAGGAAATATATAGAAAAGAGGGAGAAGTGGCCGCAGCAGCAGTTGCATCCTGCAGATTTGGAGAGGGGTGGGGTGGGGGGAAAAGAAAAAGACGATACATACACTTTATCTGTATTACATATATTTATATTTATTTATAAATAGGCAACAAAAAGAAGAAGAAATTAAAAACAACAACAACAACAATAATAACAAATAATAAAAAAAAAAAAAAATTAAAGCAAAAAAGACATATACTTAGCAGGGAAAAAAAAAGATTGCGATACACACACAACACCAACATCAACAAATAGGCATTTAATTGGGATTGTCTGCGATATTTAGTGATACATTTGAAAACATCACCCGTATACATATTACATAAACACAAGCAGACGCTATAAAATTAGAATAAAATAAAATAAACATATTTATTTTATTTTATTTTATTCTGCGCCTCTCTCTCTCTCTCTTTCTTTTTTTTTTTTTTTTTGTGTGTGTGTGTGGTTTTGCTTGGGCCCTTTTTTTTTTTTTTTTCTTTTTGTTTGTGTGTGGAACGGAGGAGTGTTGCTACTGACGGACAGTTGGAAGTACGCGGGGCATTTACAGTCGCGACTTTTTCAACGTTTGTTTTTGTTTGAGTTGAGTTGAGCTTTGAGAATTCGGCACGTCAGTGGAGCTTCTTGCCATTTCAGTCTGTCTGTCTGTCTGTGTTTGGGCGTCGGACGGATCGGGTTGGGGGTGGCGGCAGGGGAGAGATGTCTTCAGGCGCGGTGATGAGGGCGGCCAGGACTCAGAAGGTGTCACCAAAAGGAGAGGGCGAAGAGGGGCAGGCGGCGGTGGCCTCGGCGCCAACACCCCCCGCAAGAGTGGCAGAGTTGGTGGGCTCAGCGGGGAACTCCCGGCTCGCATCGAAGTCTTTTTTGAGCCGTCAAAAGGCCGCCTTGGAGAAGCATGTGGACTCGGCGGGCCTCAATTCGCCGGGGATCGGGGCGAAGTCCTTAACCCGGCAAACCAGCAGCGTAAGTGACGTTCGAGACCTCGGCAAGAGCGTGCCGGCGGCGGCGGCGGCGGTGGTGGTGGCGCAGAATGTGCACCGGACACGGCGTGCCACCGCGGAGGGGGCATCGATGAATCATTCCACCTCCCCGACGGAATGCGTCCTGTCGTCTGCGTCATGGCGGCACAACCCGTATGGAGTGCCTCCACCCTCACCCATGACAGATTCAGCTAGCACGACCCGCCACGAAAGTCCGCGATTAAGCATTCGCTCTAGAGCAGAGAGCACAATTATAAATGACATTGCAGATTACTCCACCGCCAATGACGACGTCATGGAGTTCCCATCCATTAAGGTATGCACGCGCAATGGCATCAGTTTGACTGGAAATGGAGCTATTGGACGTCGAAGGAGTTCTTGTGTGAACAACTCAGATGTCTCTGGTCGCCAATTTTCATTTGGAGAGGGTGGAGGGCGATGCGAGCCTGAAGAGAACATGTATCGATCTCGTTCTTCTGCAACGCCTGGGTGTGATGATCCTTTAATAGAGCTTCAACAGCAGCAGTCATGTCCTTATTATCATTCTTGTATGCCAAGCTGTAGTCAGACCCATCTGCACAGCAGGCAACATGGGTTAAGGCGTAGTCGAGCGAATAGTGTACAGTCTCATAGAAGGATTTCTGGAATACGACACACATCTGAGGCTCATGTGTTGCCTAGTCTTTCAACGTCGTTTTCAAGTTTACAGCTAAATCATTATTACCACGATTTACACCAGTCATCACACGTTTTTGATGCGCACCCTCGTACCTATTCACTCCAGTCGGCTGTGTCATCTCCCATGATGAATGGAAGTTTCAGTGGGGTGCATGATCTGCTTGGACTCTCCCGCTCGCCCATTGGCCACAACGTCATCTCACCCGAAGAAAGCGCCGCAAGCCGACCCTTGTACAGTTTTGAAGCTGAAAGTCTTGCTTCCCATCGCTCCACGACGGAACATTTTTCTTCTCCCATGCCGCTTTCAGGCGATTTTTTCAATTGCCCTTCGAATTCCCCTCATCACGGCGTGGGCGGGTCGAGTGCTGCCTCTTTTGGTTTATGGGGTGTAGTGCAGGTGCGGCCCTCCAGCTCCCAGGAAAAGGGGAGCATGGAAGGCTACGACGCCAACACCGACTCTAGGGACTTGCGCTTTGACGATGATGAGCGTGAGGTTGAGAAGTACAACACCACACTGCGTCCAAATGAGGTGAATGCATCGATGGACCAAGTAGGGTTTAACGACTTGAGCATGGAAGAAATGAGGGAGGGACAGCAGGTTGCTTCCAAGGCTTCTCCAGGGGTATCGCCAAGATCTGCGAGTGAGGGCTTTTTTGACCCTGAAGGGACATGCGATTATCCGACCACGATGGCTTCACGAAAAACATCCCAGGGAAATCCGACGCACCCACAGGAGTTAAATCAGGCGACGAATGCACAACAACCGATTGATTGGAATCTATTGGAACAAATGATGATGATGGATCCGTTTAAAGAAGTAATGTGCCCTCCTTCTTGTACTTTCTCTGTGTACGATGCGGAAATTCAAAATCATTACAACATTGATAGCACACAAATCGTGGCGACGCATGGGTCGGTGGAATATTTAAAAATGAATGAGGCTCGAGGAGCACAATCGAGATTTCGGTTTCAATTATGTAAGCGGTACTTAAATAAGCGTTGTACACGAGGGGCGAATTGTCAGTATATCCATACCCATTTGGTACCTCCCCCAACGTCGGTACATGTAAATGAGAATGTCATTAGTGCCGCGGTGGTAGAAGGACTTGAAATGCCACCGGAAGTTTTGCGTGGAGGAAATAATAAACACGGTTATCCAACGATGCCATCTGGGGTTATTTTTCGTGTATTTCCACCAAATCAAGGGAAAAGTGTACCGCAACTAATTCCATCGGAGATGATTCTTCGCACCGCGGGTGCGTCGAATGTATACAGTGTATTTGCTTACCCTGGAACCGGTAAGGCAAGGGATATGCTTACTACTGAGACTGCTGACACATCTGGTAGCGAGAGTGGAAACTTGACTAACGTCAAGGCGCGTCACTGTGCTCATTTTCAGTTTAATAAAATGTGTAATTTGGGAGAATCATGCAATTTTATTCATTCTTTGGTTCCATATGTGCAGCGACTTTCTATGTCTTCACAAGGTCCACTTTATAATTCAATAGTGACACAACGTCCTCTTTTGATGCCTTCTACCTCTATGGCGCATTTCAGTCGATTTTCTAATGGAAATAACAACAATGGAGTTGTCTCCTCATATCCAATGGAGTTTATGCAGCCCTCAATGTTCCATGTACCACCTCAGACACAACAGCAACCACAACAACAAAAGCAACAAAAACAACAAAAACAACTGCACCAGCAACCGCAACATGCCATGCCACCAACGACCGTGTCACACTTAATACCATCTCCCCAACCAAGTGAGCATCTCATGTACCAAAGCAACATGTCTATGATGTCGTTGCCAATGTACATGTCATCTCCCGTTTCATCGACATGGGACGGTGTTCGGTACGGTGCAAACTACCAATGAAAATGAGGCCTTTCAATGGAATTGCGAAGCCACTGTTATGACGCGGCAAATAAAAACGAAAATATATATATATATATATATATATATGCTTTTTCCACTGTGCTTTCTTATTTTATATATTTATTTAATATATATATATATATATTGAGAGTTTCGGATTTAGGCCGTGTTTGATTTACAAATACGGCACACGTATTAAATGCATGTCTTGAGGCTTATTTAAAAAAAATACATGCCTTGAAAGTGAAAATAATAATAATAATAATAATAATAATAATAATAATAATAATAAAAAGAATAACAACAACAAAAGGGTATATATATATAAAGATACCATGAAGAAAAGAATAGAAAATTTTTTTTTTTTTTTTTTTTTTCTGTTTTACATGCTTTATACTTTTTCCAAGGGCTACCGAAGCAGGAAGCATTACATCACATCCCACATATATATACATGTATTATATATAAGTAGCCGAATAAAATTTGAAGAAGAAGAAGAAGGAAAAAAAAAAATTGCGTGAATGAAAGGGGATATATTATTTATTGTTTATTATTTATTATATATAGAAGGAGAGCGAAGGGCAGGGGGGAGAGAGGGGGGAAGGGGATGGATTAAGATATTCAGCACAAGTACGTGCACCAAAATTAATTTCCATATTTTTGACAGCTTTTTTTTTTTTTTTCTTTTCTTTTCTTTTATGGCGATGTTGGTTTTAATCATTACTATGATTATTATTGAATGATGATGCTTTTTTTTTTTTTTTCCTTTTTTGTTTAACCTGCCTTTTGGCCCAAAGAGAGAGAATGCCTGCATATATTTACATGTACGCGTATCCAGAGGGATGCTCACTTTACCCGGTTTTGGTGCTGCTGCCACTGCCGCTGCAACCATTGCGATCCTTGCGAGTCTTAAATATATGAATATATTTATATTTATATTTAAATGTGTTTGACGCTTCATGGAAGAGGGAAAATAAAATAAAATAAAAAAAAAAACAAAAAACAAGAACAAAAACCGAAATTAAAGAACGAAGAAAGAAGAAGAAGACGACAAAAAAAAAAAAAGAAGAAGAAGCAGGCACCGTTTTATTTACGTACCATCGTTGTTATTATTATGATTATTATGATTGTTGTTGTTGTTATATGTAATTAAGTACATCAATATGCATGGAAGAGGGGGGAAAAAAAATATATATATTTTACTTATCTCTGTTTTTTCTCTCTTTTATTTTCCTTGTGTGCTTTCGGATGCATGTATGTATTTGTTTGTTTATTTATGCCCATATATATCTTTATTTCCCCTTTGGGGGGTACCGTGCCAGCCGTGTTTTTTTCTGCTTTTTGATCATTGTTTGCTTTTTTTTTTTTTTTTCCTTTTTTTTTTTTTTTCTTTTGCCTTTCGCTACATCACGCGAATAGATCCGTGAGTTATACTTGTTTTTTTTTTTTATTGTTATTATTATTATTGTTATATTTATCTTTACATCTTTATTATTATTATTACGGAGGGAATTTTTTTTTTTTTCTGCTTTGCTGTTTCTTTATTTGCCATGCGTATTTTTCCTTGCTGCTTGCTCGCTGTGCGGCTGTTGTGCATGCGTGTGTGCCTTATTGGAGGAGGAAAGGAGTAGGAGGAGGAGGAGGAGGAGGAGAGAAGGATGATGAGTGTAGGAGGGTGGAAAAGAAATGAAAAGAAAATTAGTTGCGAACAGTAAATATAAATAAATAAATATATATTGAGGTCTGATTGCATGTGTGCTTCTGTCTGTGTGTATCCTTTTTTTTTTTTCTTTTTTTTTTTTTTACCCCCTTTCTCCCTCTCTCTCTTTTTGCACATATATATATGTTTGTGTGTATCTTTATTTGTTTGTCCCCGGTATTATTTTCTGTTGTTGTTGTTGGACTGGGGAGGGGGGGAGGGGGTTTCTTTTCTTTCTGAATGTCTCTCTTCCTGCACGTGTGTGTGTGTGGCGCTGCGCTCCTCCCCCTTCTTTTTACACTTCTCTGTTTTTGTTATTTTCCTCCCCCCCTTCCGCACATTACATAACACAACGCGACGTGGGAAGGATTGGTCGATTAGAGGGGAGCAACACGGAGATGGGAAAGGGCGGGATGAGGGTTCTGGAGGATGAAAAGGTGCTCCTGGCGGAACTAGGCAAATTATTTCACATGGCGCGGGCAAACGCGCGAGAGCAGCGAAACACACACCGAGCGGAGAGGAGGAGACGAAAGGCCACCGTTACCACCACGACCCCAACAACAACGAGAGGGACAAAGACGACAGGTGCGAAGAAAGACCTCAAGGAGGGACGGCCGCCCAGGACGGGCTCCAAAAGATCTCGGAAGACCAGCACCCGTGGCGGGTCCGTGTGGGTGGTGCTGAAGGGCGGATTCGCACATGTGCCGACGTCAGAAAAGACGAATAAGATTGCGCATAACACAGTGTTTCGTGGACGTCTTTCAGAACGTCGTCGTGTGCAGGCACTGGAGGAGGCAGAACGGTACATACAAACGGCGTGGCAGCAGGCGCAGGAGGCGGGCCTTTTGCTTGACGATGGCAGTGGACCCAACGGAGACGAGGGCCTTCAGTACCTTTGCGAACAGTACGAGGTTGCGGCTGGAATGCTTCGCCGTGAGCCGGTTGGGGCTTTTTTGAAACAAATTGTGGATCAAACCATTCCTAGTGGCGCCCCAATGTCTTTGACGACCCCAGCACCAACGTTCTCCTCCGTGGATAACGCGGCGACATCAACAAAACTCTCACGGGATGAGTGGGTGGGAGTGATTGCACGAGAAAATGTTATTTTGAAGCGCTTTGCCCCGCGGGCAAGCAAAGAAGAAGAAGAAAAAGAAGAAGCGGAGGGTCATGGTGAGTCGGTGCTTCATGAGGCGGACCAGTTGCCGTCGCTTTACTACTTCCCCATTGCTGAACCCCTCGCATCACTTGAGGCAGCATCCGCAGTGACGGGGATGGGTCTTCGCGAAACCAGTGGCGATGCACGCGGTGGGGAGCAGGCAAGGGATGTGCTACCCACCAAGTGCATTGTTCGCATTCGAGGAAGTGGTAGACAGAAGCATACGGCTATTCTCACCTCCACAAAGTCTGTGAATTACTTTAAATCCAACTTTATGCAGGTCATTCGAAGGGAGCTTAGCGGCTCTAAACTTCCCCGCGGGGAAGACGCTGTGGAGGGCAAGCAACAACACCAGCCGGTGAGCAACAGCGCGGGTGCAGAGCATGCCGCCGCTGGCTCGTCGAAGAGGAATTCTAAAAGGCGACATAAATAAGAAGCATTTTTTTAAAACTATTTTACTTACCTACTTTTTCCCTCTCCTTCTTTTCTCTCACCTTTTTTGTTTTTGTTTTTGTATCACCCACACTCACACCTTTTTCCGTCTTTCTTTTTCTTTTTTTTCTTCTCTTTTTTTCTCTTACCCACATGAACACACTCACATGAACATGTGAATTACATGAACGTCCTTCTTTCTTTTCTTTTTTTTTTTTGCTTTTTGATGGGACGGCGGTAACGGCATTGTTTTGAGGAGGAGAAGTGTATATACATACATCTGCAAACATATTTAAATATATCTATTGGGAGGGGAACACGTTTTGTAAGTTGTCGATGATTTTTCCTCGGGGAATGCTCCTGTTCTTGAGGCTGCGTTTGCGTGAGGCGAAGCTGCCATCGAAATTATCGAGTGGGACAAGCCGTCGCGATGTCTACTCGGGCCGTCAGTCAAAGTCTCTTCTCTGGTTTTCGCGTAACAGGGAGAATGTTGCACATCACGTCTTTCCTTCACAGGAAACGGCATGCACCGCATCGCATTCCCTTTCAAAGGAGCCCGCAGTTAACGGACCGTCTTCAGCCTCCTTCTCTCCTTCTCCGCCACTTCTACTCGATCCTCCATTTACACCGGTTCCAGGTGAGTCGGAGGCTTTGAAACAGCGGGCGAATAGCGGTGAACCTCTGTTTCTGCTGTACGTCTGTGGTAATTGCAAATCGCCTCTTTTCTGTAGTTCAGAGTATGCGGCGTCTAGTTCTTTGGGTCGGCACAGTGGCGGGTGGCCGTCGTTTACAGCCCCAGTGTGTACTAGTGTGCTTCAGCTACGAAGCCTCCTTCAGAAGTGTGTACTGCAGGATGGCGGCCGGGCTTCGCCAGCTGTGACTCTTGCGTCCTCCGGGTTGCGTGTCGAGGGGGACATGCTGCGGCAGACGCGTAGTGGACGTTGTGTGAGGCTGCAGCATCGTACATGGCGTGAGGAGTGCCTAAGAGATGAGAATAAGCGAAGCGACCCGACTGTCCTGGAGGGCTGTTGTACCGTCTGTGGGAAGGCCGTTTGTCGGGTTGTAACGGAGAGACGCAAGGGGGTGAAGTACGTCGTTAACCCAACTGCCGTCTGGGCGGAGCGTACGGAAAACAGCAACCCCGACGCCGCACCCGCACCACATCCATCATGACCCTACCGTTGTTTCCAATTGAGTTTCATGGACAATGCACGCATCATGTCATTGCCACATATATTCCCTTTGTTTTTATTGTTTGAATTCCCTCTTTTTCTTCTCTCTTTTTTTTTTTTTTTTTTGTTGCTCAGGGGTCCGATGTGATGGATGAGCAGCCGGACGACGCTATGGAGAAGCAGCGGGTGGAAGGATCCCACGTAAGTGAAGCCACGGCATTGGCGGAGAACGAAGAGGCGCACGGTGCATGGACACCTCCGCAAGAAACGAGTCTCGTCCCCGAACAGCTGCTTGTGGCTCTTCGCGATGGGGCTTTTGGCAGTATCTTTGAGCTGCTTCGTGGCATGCAAACCCAGCAGAATGCGACACTCCAAACCATCGAGGAGGTGAAGGCGGAACTCAACGAGACGCAGGAGCAGATGCGGCAGGCGGGGGAAATCTTTGAGAAGTTGCAAGCATACACACAGAAACTTCACGTTATGCGAGATAACATGAAGGTCTTGGATGAAAACATGGCAAAAACGAAACGCATGGCACGAGGGATTCAGGAACGCCTAGAAAAGACAGCGGAGTGGCATGGCGAGTGAAATGACTTGCGTCAAGAGTATCTGCGGGAGTATATATATTAAGTGAGAGAAGGAAGAAGGGAGGGAAAAAAAAAAAAAAAGAATTCTTTCTATAGTTTGTCTGCACATGATATTTAGTTGTACTCTTTTCTCTCTCTTTTTTTTTTTTTTTAAATTCTTGTGGCAGGTCGGAAGTACCGAGAGGGCCTTTTTTTCAGCGTGTGTTTGTCTGTGTGGGTGCAACGGCGAGGGAAATTTATTTTTTATGTGCTTGAGGCGAGTAGGCGTGCGTCCTCCATTGTTCCTGACGTTGTCGGTTCTGCACAGTGCCGTATTCACCGTCACACCCATCACTGTAGCGCATGCAAGGCGGGGTGGGGGCAGCGCATCCAATGCGGTTACACGGAGCGTACATCTTCCACGGAGTCGAAGTTACGCAGCATTTAGACGTCTTCTTTCTAACATGCAGGAGAACACATCCCATGGCAAAGCCTGCGGTGGGGCAGAGGCGGCCATACCCTTCGATGAGCCATTGGCTGCTAACGCCGCATTGTTGGAACAACTTGGTGTAATGGACCTTGCAGAGCGGCGTAAACATCCATTTGCCACTTTTACCACCGCTACAGACACAAACTCAATACACACGTCATTGGCTACCGCTATCACCGAGGCCTGCAGGGTCGGTGCCGCCTGTCACCTTTCGTCCAATTTTATTTTTCGAAAGATTGCTGCAGCCATCAAAAAGGATGATGGTAACGCCGAATGGGTTCCCCTCATGGCAGCTGCGGTGCTTCTCCGCCATGCCGCTGAGGCCATCAATTTCAAATCTGGCTTGCTACAACGCTACAAGAACGGCTCTGATGCTGTTCCGTCACGGCATGATGCTCCCGCGTGGCCTCGGAGTGACCAGGGGGAGTTGGCACGCTTAGAATGGGTCCTCTTTCAGGAGATACGTCGGGGATATGAGATCCTCACGATGCTTCCAAAGCGCCGTAAAGAATTTGTAGAAATGCAATACAGTAAGCTAAAAGAGAATGGAGGAATTCAACTTGCATTGAACTTACAGAGAGAATACATGGATGAGCTTCGTGGACGAATTGAACTCGCTGTTGCTCTGCAGGATGGCAGAGTGGCCATTGATGCTATCGAAACGCTTTTTACCGTTTACGAAATTGCACAACGTCTTGGTGGTGAGGAAGAAATTGAAAGGGTTCGTGCGGACCTGACCCGTGACGTCTGTACGGCCATTTCCGCCTTTTGTTCAAGCCATGACTTCACGGCAGGGTGTGCTCTGTACGAAAAGCTCATTGCCATGATGCCATGGCCAAAACACCCCGCTTCCACTGCTACGGATTCCAGCAGTGCCCAACACGAAGTTAAAAGCGACAGGCATGAGACGACTGCCATGGAGATTGCTGAGAGACTGCGGCTCCTTACCGCTCTCGCGAATTGTGTGGGCATGGACGTTGTGCATTTCACCTATGTGCAGGACGCCGTAGTCGAACTTTTTTCCAATACAGATGTGGGGTACTTGCCTGCTACACGGAAAATCTCACAGGAGAGCCTTTGTGCCGTTCTTCGTGCATTGTCGCGTGTCACACTTGATCCACAGGCGAGGATGAGTGCAAGCCAGTCATTTTTTTGTGCCATACAACACAACTCACAGGCGGATGTCTTTCTTGCGCCCGAAGTCACAGAGGCGCTGCTACAAGTGGCCAGTGCGGCACGGGATGGAAATGTTGCGTTGCTCCTTTACAACCAGTTGACGGCACCCAGAGTTCATCGTGAGGATGCTCCGGCAAATATCATCGCCATTCTTTTAGCCGAGAATGACGCGCTGGACGATTTCACACGATTTTTGAGTTTTGTGGGCCTGCGCCGGCGGGTTATGGCTTCCTCTGCGGTGCACTTACTTGCGGCGAAACTTCTGCTTCAGCGTAAACCTTCCAATGTTTTGTACACCGTTTTGGAAATGATTGAGGAGAAGCACGAGGTGGAACCGCAGCGAACATTTTTTCTTCGTCTCCTTGTGTTTTACCGTGACCTGCAGCGACAGACGCCTATGGACGGCTCTTCTGTGGCTATTCCGCGCTTACATGAGCATGCACTAGTAATTCTTGGGGAATGGCGAGAGACGTTGCGTCGCACCGGTGCGAGGACTGCTGCCCTTACCACAATTCAACTTCTTCAACAAATCCGGCAGCATCTTGTGGATATGGTGGCATTGCAAGAGGACGCATCGGAGGGGGGGATGGGGGCGGTGTCATCAATATTGACTTGCATTGAGGGGATGCTGTTGGATTTTTCGCTGGGTTGGCTGAATCACTGCGCTGCGGCTTCCCGCACGCCGCAGTATCATGTCACGAGTGCGGAGCTGCGTCGTTGGGGATTTGGGAATACGAATGAAACCAACGACACGTGCCGTTCCGGCGTCGTTGTAAAGACACTAAGCCATGCCGTGATGTGGCCAGGGACCATCGCGACAATTCCTCTTGAGGAGCGCCGGGTGTTGCTACGAAAGGCGTATGATGTCTTGTACTCTGCAACAAAAGCGGGAGGTAAATTTGTGCTGGGATTTGGTGATTTTGTCCGCCTCTGTTGGCTCGAGGATGCGAGTTTTCTCCCCAGCGATACGAACACCGCTGTCTCTCCTTCCTGTGGGGACGCATTCAACTTAAGTCTGGACAGACTCAACAGTTGTGTACCGCCGGTGTATGTCACAGATGCGCTTGGTGAGACAATTTTACATGAAAATCTTTCCAATTTATTATCATCATCATCTCTGGTGATTCAGCGCGATGTTTGCATCGAGGGTGCCTCTGCGGATGAGCCCCTGCGGAGCCGGCATTACGGTTTCACAGAGGAGGAGTGGCTCTCGCGATGGCTGGACGAGTCGTCTGTCGTGTTGCACATGGGGCGTGGCGTATTTGAGCATCAACTTGAACTTCTGCTGCGCACGACATCACGTACGCAGGGGAGACAGTGCGAGGAGGAGAGCTGTGGAAAGTCGCCGGCCGTGCAATGTTTTGTCTCCGTTGCCTGATGGACTTTTTCTTCATGAAGCCCCGTTGGTGTTGAGGGAAAAGATGGACAATTACAATAAATGGAGAGGACAGTAGTTGGGGCGGCCTTCTTTTTTTTTTTTTTTTTCCTTTTTTCTTTTTGGGTGCTGCTGGAAATGGTGATGATGCGGCGTTTTTATTCTGCAAACGGTGTCACCGATTATTATTATTTTTTTCACTTCTTATATTCTGTCTATTTTATTATTATTATTTATTTGCTGACGCCGCGGTAGGGTGTGCGCCCGACACCCCGGCGCAGAGGGCTTTAACGTGTATGTGTAGGGACTTCTTTGGGAGGCATTACCCTGCAAAATATAAGACGTTGGAGACGTGTAGGCCTTCTTCATGCCAAAGGCGTTTAAAGTGAGGAATGAGGCATCCCGCATCGCTATTGTTGAGTTTCTTGTGGATAAACGTGTGCGCTTCTTAGAGTATCTGTGTTCCTTACATCAGGACGAAGTGCTATGGATGGGGACCGTGCGTCTCACACGATCGGATGTTGTGCGTTCTTTTCGAGGTTCTGGGAATTCTCACGGGGAATGGGGTGGCACCACTGAGTACCGCCTGCGTTCTACAGAATCCATTGATATGCAGACGTCTTCCGCATCTGGACACGAACATACGGAGGACGTTGTTGTTTCGGTAGGACCCGTTGCTGGCGTACCGTACACTGTACCTGCGTCTTGGCTGTCAACCCGCATGCCATGCTACGTCTGTCTTGCCATGTCACTTGCGGATATATTGCATATCCCACTTTCCGTGTTTGACTTTGTGGATTGTGTGTATGCCATGCTACTGGAGATGGATGTACGTTTTGCCTCTGGGGCCACTGCAAAGGCTCTTGCGCAGCGTAATTTACGTAGCCACCGACAACAACATCATTTTCAACAACACACAGCATTCTCAACAGAGTCGATGTCGTTTTTTGGCGGGGAGCATAGCAATAGTACTGGTAATACGAATAGTGGTGGGGTTATGATGGGGGCTGTGGGCGGTGGTTTTTTCACGATGGGCGCCTCCGATGTCGAAACCTCTGTCAAGTACCTTTATCTAAATCTTGAGCATCGTGCCTACATGACGCCGGCGGAAGTGCGTTACGAGGAAGTGATTATTCCCTTGTGCTCATTACTTAAACTTACATACCGACGGCTGGGTGATTACGATGTAGCAAGGAATGAAGAAAGCGTGAAACGGATTTTGTCTATTGATCGCCGTTTACAACACATGTTTTTTTCTGCAATCAGTAAAGAATTGGGAAAAATTGCGCGTGGCAAGTTGTTGCAACAGACTTTGTTGTTGTCTACCAGTGGCCTCTTTGCCGGCCTTGGGGGGAGTACGCATGATAACACAACGGGCCTTCTGCGTGGCTTACTGGGACTCTCTGCCGGCGCGGTTGTCCCTGCAATGGCGGCAGCTCGGAGCGGCACGACGAGTGGCAGTGTGAAACGTGGCATGCCAGACATGTTTCTAGTGGACTCGGAGGAAGAGTTGGAGGAGGAAGAAGAGGAAGACGATGAAGTGTAAGCGTATCTACACATTTTATACAACATGTCTGGTGATATATATAAATATAAATATATTTATCTTTGCTTTCAAACACAAACGAATCGGCGGCATTCACATGCCCCGGTGGGGTAGAGGAGCCTTCAAGGAATTGTTTGCTTGCGTCCTCAATGTACCTTTCATTGGCTTCTTTTCTCTCTTTTTTTTTTTTTTTTTCAAAAATGGACTTAAAGAAGTCTCACTCTCTTTTTCTTTCTCCCGCTGCGTGTGTGTGCGTTTGTGAATATCGCTTGAAATTACTTTTGCTGCCCATTCCGCATCGAAATGGCACCCCCATTACTTGCGGTACGGCAGTTTACATTTCGTCATGAATTGCCATGCACGGAGGATCAAGTCGGCACCGGGAACTGTGAGACCAATAAAAATTTAGAAGCCACGACGGCGATTCCGATTGCACGTGTCACTGTGCAGGTGTTGTCATTCAACCGCCGCTGCTTTTGGGTGCACCTCTCGGAGTCACGGGAGAGCAGCGATGCGCCGCCACCGCCGTTTGGTCCATGTGCGGTTGCCTTTGATGGTGTGGCGGCGGATGCCACCTCCTCCATTCTCATCGATGATGCCCCGCTGGCCGTACACGATGAAGAGGGAGAGTCCGGGGCAGGGGCACCAAATCCGCATGCGGCTCTTGCGGAAAGTCTTTCCCAGCGTCTTGCACATCGCCTGAAGAAGGAGTGTGCATCACCGGGTGTTGCCGTCTACGTTGCATGCGGATTTGCTGGGGAAAAGGTGGAACTGTGGGGTACACCCGCGGGGTCTTCCTTTGATGTCACGATGCGGTTTGGTGCCGCACTCTTTTCTTTTGTGTTGGAACTTATCCGTGAGGAGGTTTTGTCCAAATCAAAGGCATAATTTTTCTTTAACGAGTCTTGAGATGCAAAAAAAAAAAAGAGAGAAAAAAAACAAAAACAAAATAGGGAAGATATGGAAGGAAGGAGGGACGACGTCTTATTATTCTTACCAACTTTTTCCCCTTTTTTTTTTCTTTTTTTCTTTTTTTTTCGGGGGAGAGAGACGCTGTTGTTTTGGCATGTGGTGGACAATTTATTTGGATGTCGTGAATACGACGAGGTCAGATGGTTTTTATTGGGCTTGCCGCTGTTATTTCTTTTTTGATTTCCAATTGGCAGAATGCCAATATGTATGTACACGCATATGTGTATGTATATATTTGTATCTCTCTCTCTCTGCCTCTCTCTTTTTATGGATTTAATTGCGGTTGACATTTGGTGCCTGTTGGGGAGAGGGAAAGGGGGGAGAATAGAAAGTAAGACATCTCTTTATTATTATTACTATTATTTGTGGTTGTTGTTGCCGCACGGAATGCCTGGGGGAGTTTACACATCCGCGGAGGTGGCAAAACATGCCGTAAAGAAGGACGGCTGGTTGATCATCAACAACGATGTCTACAACGTCTCTAAATTTTATGATGATCACCCGGGCGGCAGGGACGTGCTGTTGAATCTTATTGGCGCGGACGCCACGGATGCCTTTGAGGCGGTGCAGCACAGCGACGCTGCAAAGAGACTGCTGGCGGGCTTAAAGATTGGTACATTGGCGCAGGCGGATGCAAAGAAGTACATGCGGCTTAACGATGTCAAGGAGAGGCAGAGGAAGGCAACAGAGAAGACGGCATGTTGGCTGGTCATTGCAAACAAAGTCTACGACTTGACGTCATTTACGGAGCTTCATCCCGGCGGCCGCGAAGTGCTTCTCTGTGAGGCCGGAACCGACGCCACACTGGCGCATGAGAAAATTGGTCACAGTGAACAGGCAAAAGAAATGATGAAATCGTATGTGGTTGCAGAGTTACACCCCGATGACAGACGATCCACCACATCTACCGCGAAAGAGTCTCTGGAGAAAAATTCCAACTCGGTCTATACCCGCGCGAAGGATACATCCGTGCGTGATTTTGTTTTGGCTCAAATTCAGTTGATGGTATTTCTTTCGTTGGGGATCGTGGCTGTTGGGTTTGCGCTGATTTACGTGTGAAAAAAACAGATGTGCGTGTGCAGGTTTGAGGTGGAAAAAAAAAAAAAAGGGGGGGGGGGGGGGATTTGTCAAGTGATCGGGACCACATCCACTTTGAGGCGTACATAAATACACATAAATGATTGATATTATAATTATTGATGTTATTTTTTTATTTTTATTTGGACGAATCGATATCTTTAATGCCTCAGCCCCCACCCCTTCACTCCGTACCTTTTATAAGTGCAAGAGAATTGGAGTGGATGAGGAAGGAAGCATGAAAAAAAAAATTATTATTATTATTATTTTTGTGTCTGTCGGTGTGTGTGTGTGTGTGTGTAAGCTTCTTTCTCTTGAAAATATTTCCAACGCCTACCACCAATGTATATATATTTATATATTATTGGTTTCTTTTATTTTTATTTTTATTTTTTTTGATGTGTTGAGGGTATTGAAATGTGGGTTAGGGTTATGACTGCCACCTTTTTAAATCTTTTTTTTTTTTTTTTTTTTTTTAAATGATCCCGTCAATTTTAGCGGATGGCATGTTATTATTATTATTTTTTTAAAAATGGGTGTATGACTCTCCGTCACATGTTCAATTATTAAATGTTGAAGGGATATTTTATTTCTGTGCGTGGGTGGTGGGGGGCGCGTATTGACGATACAAGTGGAGTTAAATTCAAACAAACAAACAAACAAAAGGATTTATTTTATTGATTGGATATGCGAGGAAGAAAAACAAAAACAAAAAAGGGCCCCGCTCATTCCACGAGGGAGACGATTTGGATGGCGGGCGCTTCTCTTGTAATGCGGACACGAAGAATTGGTGACGAGGGGTGCAGAGTGCATCGAATGCATTTCGTTGGTGGGTCGGATGGATGCTCATTGAGTGGCAGCCGCCACCACCACCATTTTGTGTGAGGGATGGGGATGCGTGTGTCTTCTTCTTCCCCCCTTCCCTTTTTTTTTTTTTTTTTGTGCGTGTACGTGTGTGTGTGTGTGTGTGACGTCTCGCCATTCTGCTGTCATCTTCACATGTTGCTTTTTTTCTTTTTTTGTGTGTACGTGAAATTCCCCTTTTGGGCGTGCACGCATGCATCTACGCCGTCAAGGTTTTGCGTATTGGGCGCCTCTCGTATTTGCGTGACGGGGAACGAGAAGGAGAAGGCAGGCGGCGAGATAGAGGAGAGGGTGGGGGGAGGGAGAGGGAGGGGATGCCAAAACGTTCACGTGCAAAAAAACAGGTGGGCCGGGATACGAGGGTCAAGACGGAGCAAGTGAATGGCGCTTCAGAAGCAGTTGCCACGATCTGCAAGGTGGGTCTTGAAACGTACATTAGAAATTGGATGTCGGAGGCCGATGGCGCACGTCCCCCTCCACCGTCATCCCTGCCGTCCCTCACATCGTTCCCAACCATTCTTGACGTGATGATGGGCATGTCTTCTCCCTCGACTCCGGAAGAGGGGGCAATGAATGCCACGGGACCGGATGCCAAACAGAAGGATGGTAGAATTGGGCGATCCGCGGAGGGAACAGGTGTCGTGTATGACGACGTGATGTTGCAGCACGAGTCAACAGACCCAACGGACTACGAGCGTCCTGGAAGACTGAAGCGCACTTTAGAGCATCTGCGCGCTATTGGTTTGCTGCAATGTTGCCGTCGTATCTCTCGTCATGTGGCACGTACAAAAGAGCTCCGTCTTGTGCATTCCATTGCTCATATTGATAGTGTGGACCAACTAGAGGTTGCGGCGCTATTGCGTCATCCAGAGACCTCCTATAGTGTTGGGCAAGATCTTTATGCAAACACCAGCACATCAAGGGCGGCTCGTATGGCGGTGGGGTGTGTCATAGCTGCGGCATTAAGTGTTGTGCGGGGTGAGGTAATGAATGCCTTTGCACTTGTACGCCCACCCGGGCATCACGCAAGTGTGAATGAGGCATCGGGGTTTTGTTTTTTCAATAATGTGGCAGTCGCTGTCAGGGTGGCACAGCAAGAGTTGCGACAGCGGGGAATATCCGCGCCTCGTGCGTTGGTGTTTGACTGGGATGTTCATCACTGCGACGGAACGGAGAGTATATTTTACGAAGACCCCTCCGTGGTTGTTGTCTCGATCCACCAGCACGGTACAGGCCGTGGCCATGTGCTGCGTAAAGCCCCTACTGTATTTACCGACACCATCGATTTGGACGCACTGGCCGCGCTGATGGAAGAGACAACCGGGGAGGAGGCGGCCAGCAACGGTGACAATGGCCACAACGCATCTGTAGGGGGGGATGATTGGCATCAGCATCAAACAAAGGAGGAGGAGGAGGAGGAGGAGGAGGAGGAGGCGGAGAATGCTGAGAAGGTGCAGCGGCAGAATCCGCAATTATCACCAGAGGAGGAGGGGGACGGGAGGAAGAGGGCAGCTCGTCGAAAGCCAGTGGATTACGTCAAACTGGCGGCTGACTTGGAGGAAGACGATGAAGCCATTGCTAGAATGTTTGGTATCTCACCAGAGGATTTAAAGAAGTCATCATCGTCCTTCTCGATGAGCAAAAGCAGTGACGGTGGTGGTGGTGGTAGTAGTGGTAGCAGGAGCTCAAGTTCCCACTTTTATTCCGCCCATCTTGTGCAGAAGAATCTTCCGGGAGACACGGAGGGACTTTCTCTTGATGAAGACATAGACAACGATAAAGATGGCAAATTTTATCCGGGGACAGGTCATGTTGAGCGCGTGGGTGGCGATACGAGGGCCGAGGCGCGTGGAAAAAACATAAACATACCGTGGCCTACCCTTGGCATGGGCGACCTTGAATACTTGCAGGTGTTTCTTGACATTGTGGCGCCTGTTGTGAGGGAATATGAGCCGCATATCGTATTTCTTAGCTGCGGCTTTGATAGTGCTGCGGGTGATTTACTGGGGTCTATGTGTGTATCACCGTCTGGGTATTATCTCCTAACAAAAGCAGTTTCTGCGCTCTGTCCACATCTTGTTGTTGCGCTTGAGGGCGGTTATAATCTGTCTAATGTTGCGCGTTGCTCGGAGGCCGTTATGCGAGCCCTGTTGGAGAGCAGCGGGACGGCGCCTTTGCCTCGCAGTAGGATGTTGTGGTGCCAGACAGAAGAGCTTGTGAAGCGGGTACGCCAAAGACATGAGGGCTACTGGCGCTGCTTTTCCCACCCTGAATGAGGACGTTTAC